GGGAGAGCCCGCACTAGGAGGCTGGAAGGGAAGAGAGAGAAGAGGAAGGGGTTGGGGGTGGAGGAATGCCAAGGATGGGTTGGTTCATTCATGGGTTGTCTTTCAATGTAAATTCAAATAAATGTAAAGAGATTCAGTCCAGGATGAACAACTCATTTATCGATTTTCAGCAAGGGTTGCCCATAATGTTGCAATTTGCTTTTCTTTTCTTTTTTAATATATTTTATTGATTTTTTACAGAGAGGAAGAGAGAGGGATAGAGAGTTAGAAACATCGATGAGAGAGAATCATCGATCAGCTGCCTCTTGCACACCCCCTACTGGGGATGTGCCCGCAACCAAGGTACATGCCCTTGACCGGAATCGAACCCGGGACCTTTCACTCAGCAGGCCGACGCTCTACCCACTGAGCCAAACCGGTTTCGGCGCAATTTGCTTTTTATCTTTCCACTTGGCAATAGATCTTGGACATCTTATAAGACAAAACAGTATTCCATTTTATAGTATTTAACTAGTGTCCTATCAATGAGTCTTCTGGTTGTTTCTATTCTTTGTTGTTATCGTTACAAACAATGTCACAAAGGGCAACCTACCTTGTTCCTACATATTTACTTGGAGGATAAATTCCTAGCAGCAGGATTTCTAGGCCGTGCTTTTTAAATACTGACAGGTTCTATGCATTGATCTTCAGGAAGGTTATTCCCAATTCCACCGCAGTGGGTGAGAGAGAGCAGGTCCCGAACCTCTCGCTCCATCTGCCTCCTTCACCTGCTCCTCTGCCCCTGAAGACATCGGTCTCCAGCCGTCCATCCGCTGACTGTTCACCCCAACCAGGAATTCGCAGCAAGTTCTCCAGGGACTCTGACCAATGATTCTACCCTGAGTCACACCGAAAAGCACCAACCGAGAAACCTAGTCCTTGCCCTAACTGGTTTGGCTCAGTGGATAGGGTGTTGGCCTCCGGACTGAAGGGTCCCAGGTTTGATTCTGGTCAAGGGCATGTACCTTGGTTGCGGGCACATCCCCAGTAGGGCGTGTGCAGGAAGCAGCTGATCAATGTTTCTCTCTCATGGATGTTTCTAACTCTACCACTCTCCTTTCCTCTCTGTAAAAAAAATCAATAAAAAACATTTTAAAAATAATAATAATAATAATAATAATAATAATAATAATAATAAAAACCTAGTCCTTTTTGAACCCAAATCAAGTAGAATACAAATAAATAAGAGAGAATTGTTTTAAAATACTGCTCAAGTGGACCCTGTGCTTGAGAAGATTATACCCCAAAAACAGGAGATCCTCTCAGCTAGAAACTGCATTTTGCCAACGATGAGCAGAGACACTGACGGGGGGGGGGGGGGGGGGCCTGAGATCCAGCGTGTGCTGTACTAACCCGCCACTGGGGCATCGTTGTGGAACAGTCTACCCACAGGGGGCGCCTTCTTCCAAGGCACCACCTGGGCCTGCTGCTGTGGCCCTGGAGGGAGGCCCTTTTCTGAAATGTTGGCTTGTGTGAAAAATCCAAATGCAGCCGTATGCCAGGCGGTGCATTTCTGTGCTGCTTCGCTTCTCTAAATGGGCCCTGATGCCGGGAGGGCCACGGCCGGACTCCCAGACACGCCCCTGGCGTCTTGATTCACAACGTGCGGTCACAGACTGGTGTCGGGGTACATCCTGAGGGCCCGGCCTGGCCTGGTAGTACAGACTCAGCGCAGGACACAGAAATGGCAAACATCTGCCCCACAGCGTTGGGGGTTTTGTTTCCAGGAGTAGGTCTGATTATCCAAAGAGGAGCAACAAGTCCATCCACCAGAGAGCTTTGTCATTTGAAAAGCTTTCATTCCAGCCGGGGGTTCTGGTGGCCTGGGCACTGGCTGGCCTGTAGGGTGAGCCTGTGCCCCAAGTGAGCCCAACTTAGTTGGAGTGTTTTTCCACCTTGGGATGTGGCCACGTCCCTGAGGGTCACCCTCGTCACGGTGGGCACTATCTTCCCAGAGGGCCTTCCCCCAGGACTCCGGGCATCTCAGGGGCCGGGCCTTTCTACCTGAGCCCAGGAACAGCCCCCTCAGCTTCTGCCCAAGCATGAGGGAGAGGCCAAGGGAAACTTTCTAATGATCACAGATGCACACAATGGGCTGGTGGGCACCTGGCCACAGCAAACCCTAGGGTCCATCTTTTCCCTCCGCGCACAGGTCATGGCAGGCCAGGGATGGGGCAGTCCGAATCCAGCTGTAAGCCCAGCTGCTGCATAGCCTACCGCTGGGAGGCCAGTGTGCTCAATGTACACGTCCATATGTGGAAGGACCAGACACAGCTACTGAGGCAAGTAGCTTCTTGCCTCAGTCCCACTCACAGTGAGGCCTGGTTCTCAGGTGTGTGAGCAGCACAGTAAACTCTCCTTAGCTCTGTCTGCAGCCTGACCTCCCGGCCTGTAAAATGGGCTCATTTAACCTGTCCTTCCCTCTCTGCCTCCCAGGGTCAGGACCAAGAAGTGACATACATGAAAAGGCTTTGTAAACTAGTGTGCTTTTCAGACACTGATGATATAATGATGATGAGGCCATCAGATTGCCCCATCCCCTGGGTGGCAGTGATTGGTGGGACGGACATAAACCCAGCCAGCTCAGATGATGAAGGAGACTCGCCTTTCTGCTGGGTGTGACTGAGCACTGAGTCTGGGGCTGCTGCTGGCTACCTTGCCTGCCGCATGAAGAGAAGAGGGTTTGGGGGAAGGAGGCACAGAGCCCTCTCTAGGAAGCTTGAGCCCCTGGATTCAGCTAAGCCTGAAACTAGTGAACTCTGAGATCTACTGTTACATGAACCAATGTCCCTTTTTCAGTAGGGGCTAGTTTGATTTGACAGTCTGACATCTCTGCCTGGAGGAATTCCAACTATCCCTTGGATGCATTTTTGTAATTAATTTTTTTATATATAAACAAGGATTTTAGAGGGAAAAGCCTTGTTCAAGTTTCTTTTAGAATACTTCTCAGCAGCATGAGCAAGCAGAAAAAGCACTGAACAGAGAAATCAAGCAACGTGGGTTCTCTGCTGTTTCCCACAGGACCTGCTATGTGACTTTGTGCAGTCTCCTAAACTGTCTGGACCTCAATAAAACAAGGTGTTAATGATGTCTGAGGTATTCTACAGTTCTATAAAAGACACTTACACACACACATACACACTAAGTGGCCAGATTACTATGAAAATATATATATATAGAGGCCTGGTGCATGAATTCTTAGATAGGTGGGGTGCAGCCAGCATGGAGGGAGGTTGGTTGGGGGAAGAACATGGGCGGTTGGCCAGCCTGCCTATTGGTCAAACTCCTGGTCAAGGGGACAATTTGCATATTAGCCTTTTATTATATAGGATATACACTGAGTGGCCAATTATGCTTTCAGAGATCATAATAATAGGGCCACTCAGTGTGTATGTGTGTGTGCATGTGTGTTTATCCATCCTTGGGTAAGGATTTAAAAAAATAAAATGCAGCTTCTGACCCAGCAGGTCTGGGGTGAGGCCCAGATTCTTCATCTCTGCCAGGCTCCCAGGTGACACCTGTGCTGGTCAAAAACAGGCTGAGTGTAGATCTAGAACCATGCTGACCAAAATGGACACCACTATCCCCTTGTGGCCAGCAGAGCACTTGTATGTGGCTAGTCCACAATAAAAGGGACTGAGAGTGTAAAATACACACAGGCATTCAAAAACAATACCACCAAAAAAAAAAAAAAGGAAACATCGCACTTATAATTTCTATTTTGATGACAAGCTGAAATGATCATATTTTTATATTTTGGGTGAAACAGAATCAGTAAATTTAACTGCACCTGTTTCTTTTTCCTGTTTTAATATGGCTACTAGAAAATGTAAAATGACACCTGTGGCTTATGTTATATTTCTACTGGACTGTGCCACTCCAAGACACTTGGCTCTCCTACAACCTGCCGGGCAGGTGGGGGGGGGGGTTCAAGGTGGAACCACCTCAGTCATTACTGTTGAGCATATCCAAGGGTCTGTAAATTGTGCAAGGCCATTTGAGAGGTTGGATGAAGTGCATTGAAGAATACAGCCCCCTCCCTCTCACCCCCAGCAAGTAACACTTGTACACAGGTAATGCCTAGGCTGAGGCAGTCAAAACAGGCCTAACCATGAAACTGGGAGTGAAAGCATTCTGAACAGCTCTAAGCAGAGGTTTTGCAGAGAAAACACAACCGAAAAGGTCAGGGTGAAAAGGCAGGGGTGAGGCTGGGTCTGCATTGGCGTTGGTGACAGGGGGACAAAACGTGTCAGTTCTGCATTTGCTCTACTTGACAGCAGAGTTCTCACCCCCCTGAGTCCCATTCCAAACCCAGCACCCCCAAAATCAGAGATTCCCTAAAAGCGAAGACCCAGGGCAATCACTTGGCCTTGCTGCAACCAGACACAGGTCTGAAGATGGCCATCTAGTCAGAAGCATAATAAAAGGTCAGGAAGCAGGCAAGATTACCAACCCATTCCTTCTGCAGGCCACAAAGCAATCAGCATCACCTATAGGCTAATGTTTTTCTCGAACTCTCCCAATTCCATGTCCAAGACGGTTCTATCTGAGTGAATGGCCCTTTCATGTAAGATGCTCCAAAAGTTCACCCACAGTAAGGGTGGGGAGGGTACACAACACACTCTCCTCCTTAGGAACACAAGGTTTCTTTACTGGAAGCCACAGGAAGGCATTACCTGACCCGAAGAGCCGCAGCTCCTGCTCTGTGGGAACGTGGTTCATCCTGGGCCCATCCCCACCCTGCGCCTGCACAAGACACCAGAGGGAAGGGAAGCTCTGGTGGACATGTGGACATGTTGACTTGTGAGAGCAGGCACACCTTTGAGCATCATGCGGGCACGTTCGCGCTCCTGGAAAACTCGGCATTCCAGACAAAGGAGCAAAGCCGCCTTGTCCTGGGCCAGCCCAGCAGGCCCCACCTCTCCCATCACGGGCCCACCCAAGCTCCAGACAATACTGACCGGGTTTGATTTCCAGCAGCCGCAGCTTTGGATCCTCAGGAGGGTGCAATCTCCTCTTCTTTCGCCAGCAGCGCGCAGGGTATGTGTACAGCTGGCCCGGAGCAAGGCCTGTGGACAGAGACAGTGTAAAGATGAAAGGCTCCGGGCTGGAAGGGGCCTAGGAAACCTCGCTGTCTGACCCTCTCACTCACAGGGAGAGCAGCCCAGAGTGGTGAAGTGACTTATCGAGGTCACACAGCTGATAGATGTAGAGCTTGGGTAGAATCTAGGTCATCTGACCCTAAAGCCCTTGTTCTGTCCATGCTGCCTCGGTAAGCCCATGCCAGGAAGAGCCATCACTGTTACCAAAACCAGTTCTCTTTTCCTGGCCTGGGGAGAAGGTCAGAGGGACCTGTGGACCTAGGGACCCTAAGAGGGACCTTTCCAGATTCAATCAGCAGTGTTTCCAAAGCAACGGATCTCAGTTCCTGCCCATTGACTAGCCCAGTGGTCGGCAAACTTTGGCTCTCGAGACACATGCGGCTCGTCAGCCGCAGTTTGCTGCTCTGTTGACTAATGAGTTTGCCGAACGCTGACCTAGACTCTCGATTCCAATAATTACAGGCTGTTGTTGTTCCTTGTGATTAAGCCCCTAGCCCAGTGGTCGACAAACTCATTAGTCAACAGAGCAGCAAACCACGGCTCGCGAGCTACATGTGGCTTGCGAGCCACAGTTTGCCGACCATTGGATTAGCCCTTTGTGCAAGTCAAGCAAGTTCCCTTCAGGGTGGAGCAGCAGAAGTCAGTCTGCCTATGGATGGTCAGCCAAGATTAGAAAACATTGCAAGGAAACAGGATCAAGGAGTCAGACCGCCTACCTACTGGCTCCCTCCATCCCATTAGCTGCTGGCAGCTAGCTGAAGCCAAAGAGAGCCTGTGCAACCTCCATAAGAACACAGGCCTGCCCTGGTGACCAGGCTGCTGCAAAGCCAGCAAACCTTTATTCCCCACCTACCTGCCTGGGTCTCACAGAACAGAATGGGCAGGAGTTCTGTGGCTGGGCTTATGCACCCATTGTCTCCCAACAAGATTCTCCATGTAAACTGGCCTTTGGCACCAAAGTTCCACACCAGCATCATGTGTCATGCCAAGTAACACATGAGGAGCCTTCTTGCTCATTAGGCAACACTCTTGTGGCTCCTATGACACATAGAGAGTCAGCCAGAAGCCTTGGAGGGCCATGGACTCCCCACACTAGACCATGGTCTATTCCCAGAGAAAAGAGCAAGGGGTAGAGGCTGAGGGGTGAGGAAGAAGGGCTTGAGACTGGTTAGGTCAGTGGTCGGCAAACTCATTAATCAACAGAGCCCAATGTCAACAGTACAGCAATTGAAATTTCTTTTGAGAGCCAAATTTTTTAAACTTAAACTTCTTCTAACGCCACTTCTTCAAAATCGACTCACCTAGGCCATGTATTTTGTAGAAGAGCCACACTCAAGGGGCCAAAGAGCCACATGTGGCTCACGAGCCGTGGTTTGCCGACCACTGGGTTAGGTGATCTGCAGACTAAAAAGACTACCTGATGCACCCCAAAATAAACCAGCCAACTAACCCACCCCTGCTAGCGTGAAAAGACTGGCAAGGAAAGGAACTTTTTCTTGTCCTTGTAGAACCCCCAGAACCAGAACTGAACCTCACACACTAAACTATCAAACTAAATTTTGCTGAATGAATTAATGAACGAATATGTTCCAGCTTTACTTTACTTGGGTCACAATTCAGTCCACTGTAGATAAATTTCGCACATGACAACTGTTAGATGCAGGTAATTTTACATGAGAGGGTCCCTTCCTACATCTAGAACCATGGGCTTCAGACAACATCAGGACTATATTCCCATGTGTCTGCCATTCGGGGGCCTTTAGAAGTTAAACGGGCCTGGCTGGAGTGGCTCAGTTGGTTAAGTATTGTTCTGTGCATCGAAAGATTGCCAGTTCAATTCCCAGGTCTCTCTCTCTCTCTCTCTCTCTCTCTCTCTCTCTCTCTCTCTCTCTCTCTCTCTGTGTGTGTGTGTGTGTGTGTGTGTGTGGGTGTGTGTGTGTGTGTGTGTGTGTGTGTGTCTCAGCATGTCCTCAGGTGAGAATGTGGAGAAGAAAAATGTTAAGAGGGACACTGGCTTCATTTTTTGCCCTTTGCAGAAGAAAAAAAAAAATTCAATAGCAATGTCTGCTATATACCCATTTACTCATTGTTCATTTTTACTAGTCATCACTACCCGTTTTTCGGTTTGTGTTCAAATTAGAGGCACCTATTCCAGCACTAAAGGAACCAAATTTTTCAAGTTCTCTTTATGAGCTAAGTTTTACTTTTAATCACCAAGCTGCTCCCACAGGCTGCAAGGCTAGGAACAAGTTGAAGGCCCCTCCCCCTCCCCCTTTTGATGCTTAGAAACCATTAAGGTGATGGAGCCTGGTGTTATGAGCTAAGGGCTCGTCATGTACAAGAGTCATCCTAATACTTAATATTTGACGTTGTTGATAACTTCACGGCCTTCTGCACATTAGGAATATCCTGAAGTTCTGAGCCCCTGCACTCTGGGAATCAGACTTGTGCTAATGTATAGATGACAAATAAACCAAATAAAGTAAGATTGCTCCACTTCCCCTGGAGGTCCATTTTTTACCTCTTTGAGGGAGGGCATCACTGGGGAATAATTCAATGTTTCTAATGTGGTTTAGTCCCGGACAATACCATCTCTGACCCTGTAATTCCTGAATGGGCATACTAATTCTTGATCCCTTATAAAAGTTTTGGCCTCCTCTTGGGCGGGTGTGGCCAGTGAAGGCCAAGTGCATGGGCTGACCTGCTACCCCCTGTTCCAGAACTAGTCCCACCAATCCCCACTCTTAATCCAAACTAAAACCAAAGTCACCCGAAGAACTTCTTAATAACACCAATAGCCAAAATTCATGCCAGACCTACCCAATCCAAATGTAAGTGGGTGGGGAGATTGGGCAATTTACTTTTTTAAAAAACCTTATAGATGGTTTGAACGAGAATGTCTGAACGAGAACCTCCGGATGCCTATGCATCATCTAATTACTGCCTGGACGTCCTCTCTGACGTACTAAGACTGGTTGAATGACCTTCTCTGTTGGACTCCCTGTGTGTCCCCCAAGATATTGTCATTAATTGCCTGCTTACTGGACTGTCTCCCCTACTCATTTTATAAGATTTAGGATGGCCGAAACCAGTTTGGCTAGGTGGATAGAGCCTTGGCTTGTGGACTGAAAGGTCCTAGGTTCAATTCCGGTCAAGGGCATGTACCTTGGTTGCGGGCACATCCCCGATAGGGGGGGTGCAGGAGGCAGCTGATCGATGATTCTCTCTCATCCATGTTTCTAACTCTCTATCCCTCTCTCTTCCTCTCTGTAAAAAAAAAAAAATCAATAAAATATATTTAATAGTAATAAAAGAAAGATTTAGGATGGCAGGAACTATGTCCATTTTGAGTATCCCCAGTGCTTTGCACAGTGCCTGGCAGGTACTTCAAGAAATACTTACCAAATAAATTCAACCAGAAATGAACCAGGCTCAGAAATACAGAACGTGAATAACTATTGCCCCTGCTGTTCTGACTCCAGGAGACCCATCTACCCACAACCAAACCATGCAAAAGGGACCCCAGGAGGTGGGTGCAGAATTGAACCCCGACCCACCCCAGCATGGTAGCTGTACCTTAAACTCTATCCACAAGCTGTTTCATGGTATTTCCAAGCTGACCAAGAACATACAAGTGAGAAGGAACTGGCCCAGACCAATACCTTCAAAAGGTCTAAGTGACAAGAGGTCAAAATTGTCAACACTTTTCCAGGTCCTATGTCCTCCTCGGGAATGTGGTCCCTGCACTTTTTGGTCAGCAGCAGCAGGCAGCCCCAGACCACTCAGCTTGGAGCTGCAGGCCCACTTGCCTGGGAGAGTCTATTGTAGCAAGTGGTTTGAATGTCCAAAAGAGGGGACACTTTTATTTCATTCTTCCCCTTCCCCTGATGGGTTAGAGAAGCTCCGCAGTGCAGAGGAGGAGCACATGGGTCCCTGCACCACCATTCCCTGTCACCTTGAGAAATGTCACAGTTTTCTGAGACTGTCTCCTCACCTGTAAGATAACAGCACCTACCGCATAAGGACTGTCATGGGGATTCGCTTATATTCAAGAAGCAGCTCTTTATCACATGAAGCCCTGTACAAATGTCAGTTAGTAATTATTCTGAGTTACTGACTTAAATGAGTCTGGACTCCATGCCCACGTGGCATGACAAGGCCTCCCAACCCCATGTCCATGCTGCTCTTTGCTTCTGTAGCCACGAGAATGGAAACAGGCCTCCCTTGAGGTCTCTCTTGACTCCACGTCATCTCAGCAGGCACACAGCCCCAACAATTTTCTGGGGGCTCCTGTCCCCATTCCTCACCCTCCTCCATAGGCTGACAGGCATCAGGGTGCCTTTATAGGGTCAATGCATTCAGCTCTGGAGTTCCCCTTATAAAGGGATGAGCAGAGCCCCGTGAGAGTCATGTTGTTTATCTCATTAGAACAGGAGACACATAACTCAAAGCCCATGTGTGTGGTAGGTGAAGGAAGGAGGAGGGGAAGGCAAAGGAGGGCGGAGTCACTGCTGCAGCCTGGGAAATTAAGCTGAAGGATCAGCCTGAGGCTGGGGGGATATGAAAGAGAAAAAAGGGCAGATCAGTGGCCCTCATCCATTCACAAACCCCACTAAGCAAACTGCTTTTTTGTTACTTTGAGGTGCAATGCCAGTTTTACAACACACGTTCATGTGCAAGCATCTCACACACACACACAAACTCACACCCTTACTGAAGGGGTGGGGAAGAACTGGCTCCTTAGAAAAATTTAGCAGGAAGGACGATGCCTCTACGATCAGCAGAGTCAGACAAATCACTTGCTACCAGCACTGCCCAAGTTCAGCAGGTGGATACTTAGTCTCATGAGCATCTTGGAAAGCATGAACTATTAAGAACTCAGAAGATGAAGTGGGATAGAAAAGAGAAGGAAGGATGGGATACGAACAGAATCTTTTTTTTTAAATATATTTTATTGATTTTTTACA